AACCTTCCTACCAGAACTGATGTGAGAATCAAACGGGGAAAGACCTATTGGAAACCATTCAGAATTTAGGATAATTTGACCCAAGTGGACCTGAAATTTACATCTTTGTGTGCCCTTCTCTTAATGCCTAGTACCTAAGCCCTCGACGAGTGTTTGCTGAATGAATATCAAAGGATTTGTTACTAGACTGTAAATAAGAGAGAAGTAAGTACTTTCACTTACTTAGGAGGATAAATTGGTCTTAGGGACTTCAGCCCAACAAATCAACAAATATTTATTGAGACTTAAGGCACTGGGCTCTCTGAGTCCCTTTGTATTTCAGCTATTGTATGAAAGTGAATTCTGCTATTTACAAATTCATTAAGACCAACAAAACTTCTACTTAGAAACATTTTAATCAATATGGTTATTGCAACCTCACATAATAAAACAGCATTTCTTTTTAAAAAACAGTCTCTATTTCCAATTTTTCATTAACTCAGATTGGCTTTCTTCTCAACTCAGTCCGCAATGAAGTTTCACTTTAATTCACTGTTCGGAGGGATAAGCATAAGGGCTGGAGCTGGTTTCACTGACCTAGGGAACTCACCAGTGAGCTTCTTCTACCAATGCAAGTCCAGCCCTTGTCTGTGATTTATAGTCTCTGAGAATCACCTTGTCGCACTGAGAGATTAAGTGACTTGTCCACATAGCTGGTACAATGTCAGAAGGTTGTTATTCAGTTGTGAACAACTCTCTCATGGCCTCGTGGGTTTTCTTGGCAAAGATATCAGAATAGTTTGCCATTTCCTTCTCCAGCTCATTTTACAGATGAGGAAACTGAGGCAAACAGGGCTAAGTGAATTGCTCAGGGTCACTCAGCTAGTAAGTGTCTAAGGTCAGATTTGAACTCAGGAAGCTGAGTCTTCCTGACTCTAGACCCTGCACTCTATGCACTGCGCCATCTATCTACCCCTGAAGACTCAAGTTCAAATCTGACCTCTGATACTATCTGTCTAAGGGACTAGCAGTCACTTAAATGATGTCCGCCTCAGTTTCCTCATCTGTAAAATGGCACCTGTATAATAGCACCAACCTCCCAGGGTTGTTGTGAGGATCAGATGAGATAATTATAATGCACTTAGCACAGTGCTTGGCACACAGTAAGTGCTATATAAAAGTTATTATTGTTATTGGTAGGACTTGAACCCAGGGCCTCCTGGCTCCCAGGCCAGCTCTCTATCTGCAACAACTCACTGCCCCTCATAATTTGCTGTTTGGAGAGCCCTCAACAATGTAAATACATTATGGAAGAGTTAAACAGCGTTTATTTCAATCAGTTTCCTGCAGGTTTTAAATGTTATTTTAGCTTTCACCATTCAGGTTTCACTGGATTCATTTATTCTATTTACACCAATAGTTTGCCCCTAGAAAATGGGTACTCTTCAGCTTTGATGGTGTAATCTTTTCAAGACAGGATGCAGTCAAACATATTCTCTCATCTGCTATCCCATAATCTTGCAGCTAGCCAAAGTCAGGGCTCATAACACTTCAAGAAGAAAACAGACTCCCAACGAAGGACAATTCAGTCTGGGAGACTAGACCCGGAGCGGCCGCACTAGAATGCTGACCAGTGGAGGGACAGTGAGAGACGCCGAAGCCTGAATTCAGGCATCGTTGCCTTTCCTGTTTTACTTACATTGTCTTGTGGCTTTATCTCCTTCACCCACCAGGACGTCTCAGAATCAGTCACCTGCTGCCTGTTGAGGCAGCACCTGGGCTATTTATAGCCCTACACCAGGGCTAAAGAGGTGATTTTTGCTCCTCTGGACCAGCTGCACTGCTTCCAAGGCTAAATTTGGAGCCAGGATGCAAAGTGATGGTGGTAGTTGTTGTGCTTATGGGGGAAGGGGGCTGGGTTGCTTCTGGAGGTTGGGGACTGTACACTGTTGATGCACATCCCTACCCTCCCTCCAGTGTGGGTGTTCTTGGATACCATTCCACACCTTTCGGAAAGTGGTGGGGGTTGGGAGAGTTTTAATTGGGGGGGGGGGGGGGAGAGGAATGTGTGCAGTGGAGCCTGACACCACCAGGGGTCCGCATACTCCATACAAATATTATACACCTCTGAAGACTTTCTCCCAAGGGCACAGTCTAGCATACAGTTAGTGCTTAATAAGTGGTCTCTATTCATCTTGTTGAGTCCCAGTATATATAATTTTTTGTACCTAAAATCTCCATGATATTAAAAAAGGTACCATGCTTAAAAAGGCAGGTGAAGGAAACCAATCCTTTGGTTGAATAAACCATCCCGATTGCAATCCACAGGAACTATAGTCCCTTTATTTTTGCAATTTTCAATTTCATCTTTGCAAGGTGGTTCCTGGGGAAAATGGGATTTCATTTTAGTCCAAACAGAAGTCTACAGAGATATCAAAGTGAATGGATGCGATCTTAATCCTCCTCCTGTGGCAGATCCTAGGACATTCTTACCCCACTCAGGTTAGCCTCCAACTAGGATCAGAGATTCGGGACCGGAAGGGAAGTGAGAGGTCAATTCAACCCTCTTATGTTAGAGATCAGGAGCTAAGGCCTAGGGAGGGGAAGGAATTTGTCCTACATCAAAAAGCTTTGATTTGAACCCAAGTCCTCTGACCTCAGAACCTTAAGTTTCCTCTATCTTATGCTGCTTCTCATGGCAAGAAGAAGATTTGAGGGGTTGTTTTAATCAAACTGTGCATGGAGCAGCATTTAGCTCCCTGTTCACACCCTCCCCCACACAAATCCTGGTAAAACCCAGTCCAAGGACCACTGGGAAATAAGCCAAGTGTTGACCAGAACACGTTGCCTGACACACACAAGGCATTTAATAACTGTTTGTTGACTGAACATCAGAAACTGCTGGTTTTTCAACAGAAACAACATTTTAAAAGCTACATTGTCATCTGCCTTGGGCCTTTCCATCTGACTTGCAGAAGAAAGCCTATTTTAGAATGTGAGCACCTTGAAATCAGGGAATGTCTTGCTTTTCAGCAGAATTTATCACTGCTTTGCACAGAGTAAGCCTTTAATAAATTATTATCATTCATTGATTCAAAGTTGGTACATGTCACAAAGTGAGAGGCAGTGTGGGACAGGGGGAGCCCACTGGACCTGGAATAAAAAAAAAATCAGGCATTAGATTCCATCCCTTTTTCTAATGCTCCCTAGCTGTGTGGCCCTGGGCAAGTCCCCAACCTCTTTTCATTTCTTTTTCTGAAAAATGGGGACTCTACCTGTAACAAATGTCGCTTATTATTACTTGTTATAACTGCTTCTTTGTAAATTCCGCATCTCTAAGTCTTGAATCTGATGTTTACATTTAACTATCAGAGACTCATATCTTGTTCACCTATGAGTCTTTTGCTCCCTTCATGAATCTGCTCAAATCCAACATCCTACAAGAAGTCTTTTCTGATTCCCTTGTTAGGACTTGCTATTTCTCCCACCCACCCCTCAGCTCAGTATGTCTATGTGGGTATATGTGCATATGTATATACATACATACATACATACACACACATATATATTTACTCAGTCTATATTTTGTATTTCCTAATCTGTGGGAGTGTGGATTGTAAAGTCCTTGAGGGCAGAGACTACTCTTTTGTTGTTGTTTACTCTTTGAATCTCTGAAGCCTAAATGCTTGGCTGTTTAATGAATGCTTCTTCAATTACCTGATCAGGGTCTTGACAGTTATGACTGCTAAGTGAGAAAGCACCAAGCCAGATTCATCTTCCCAAGTTCAAATCTGGCCTCAGACACTTACTAGTTGTGCAACCCCAGGCAAGTGGATTCACCCTATTTGCCTCAGCTTCCTCATCTGTAAAATGAGCTGGAGAAGGAAATGGCAAACCACCCCAGTATCTCTGCCAAGAAAACCCCAAATGGGGTCAGGACACAACTGAACCACAAGAAAACAGGGAGGAAGCCTAGCATATTAGGGAGACTGGAGTACAAGTCCCACCTTGAGATATAGACCAGCTGAGTGATCTCTCAGCACATCAGTCTGGAGCCGCTGATCTACATCAGAGGAAGGAGTTTTCACACTAGGACTTTCCAGCTTTCCTTTCCCCACCCCCAACCTCTCAAAAAAAAAAAAAGACTGGAAGTTTGTAAAGAGGAGCAGAGCCCAGATTCCGTTCAGGGAAGATAATGGGGTGGGAAGTCCTGGGCAGTTGGGATGGGGGCAGTTCCCCACCTATGATTAGGTCATGAAAGGAAAGATGCAGAAAGGGAGGGTGAGAAAGCACCAAACGCCTACTGCACAGACTGGCCTAGGGTTTCCGTCTACGTATTTCTGCTCTGCTGGGCAAACACTCTTCCCTAGAGCATCAAGATGGAAGCGTAAATCTCCGTCGGCTAGAGGAGGTGTACGACCACCAGACAACCTTGGTGGCTGTAGAGGACCGGCTTTGAGGAAAGCACTTGGAAACCTGCAAGGGCTGTAGAATTGTAAGTTATCGTTGTTAGGTCAATTCCCCTCTCTGAGCCTCAGTTTCCTTATTTGTAAAAACGGACCGTACTGTTCATACTCTGTCTCACAGGGTATTGAGGAGGAAGCGCTCGGGAACGCTTAGCGAGCTATAGAAAAAGGGAGTCTTTAGGAAGTCACACTTACCCCCTCCGAACCTCAGTCTTGTCATCTGTGAAATAGGCAGGGGGCCTGCCCTGGGTCCCTGCTGCTCTTCTTATTAGTGTTATTCTCATCGTCCTTCTACGTCAGAGGCCTCCCCAGCACGTGACGTGCCCTCCCCCCACCCACGCTCCGCTGTCCAGCCCGGCCCGGGCGCCCCCTCCCCCGCCGCTGCTGTGCCCGCGCCCACCCCCGCCCCTCCCCCGGCGCGCCCCCGAGCCCTCCCGGCGCGGCCACGCGGAGGAGCGAGCTTTGCGAGCGTTCCCGTGCCACGCGCGAAGTGGGCCGAGGGACGAGTGCCCCCAGGGGGAGGGGGCCGGGGAGAGGGGAGCCCCGGGAGCCCGAGCCCGAGCCGCTGCTGGCCGGCTGTCGTCCCTGTCATCGCTGCAGACCCAGGAGGGAGAAGCAGCACCCTGGCCAGCATCCCCAGCTTCAGCATCCCCGGCAGCAGCAGGTATGTCTGTCTCTTTAAACCCGGCCGCAAGCCCGGGCACCGGGGCTTCCCTGCCCTCCTGGCCCGGGCCCCTTGGCCAAGGGGAGGTGAAGGTGGGCAGCAGCGGGGGGCTCTTAGCGCTGACCTTCATCTCTGCGGGCCCGGGTTGGGAGCTGGCCGGGGGGTGGGGGGGGCAGCGCTCAGGGCATCCACTCGGGCGGCCAGCCTGCCGGCCGGGCACCTGCTCTCCCTCGCCTGCATCTTTCTTTCTTTGCATCGGTTGTGCTCGGGGTCCGGCTGCAGATGCTTTGTCTTCCATTATTTGCCACCCTGTGCCATCTTGCATTTATTAATAAAACATGCAAAGTAGAGTGAGGGAGAGGAAGAGGGGGGCTTTGGGAAATCCCATTGTGGTGCATCCTCGCAACAGTAGCAGCAGCCCCAGCAGCAGATGGGCTCGGGTTTTCTATCCTCAAATGTGGTGGTGAAGTTTAAATCCCCTGTACTTGGGATCTATGGTTTGGTTCTGAGATTGGGTCCGTAGTGACCACTTCCCCTTTTTGTTTGAGAAATGGGAAAGAAACAGAAATACTATGACCCGCTACTGCGATATGTGTGTGGGAGTGAAGGATGGAGGGCTTCCCCCTCGTCAGGCCAGAGTCCAATTCAGTTGCCAGGTGTAGGCAAAGACAAATGTTTCTCCCCATTCTCTGATTTGTCAAAGAACCTTCGACCTAGAAAAAAAAAATTGCTTTCCATTTTGGCTTAAGAGAGGCCTTGAACAAAATCATTGAGACTTTCTGTTGGGAAATAAATACTCAGAAACTCATTAGAGGGCTTTGCATCCTGGCGATGACTAAGATTCCACCTGTTGGAAGTCCAACCCCAGGAAGCTTATTCCTGCCCACCCTAGAGGGACCGAGGGGGTTCCCAGGACCTGCCCCTGTTTACAGAGCTGGGCAGCCTTCTAGTGAATGAAATCCATCTCTTTGGGAATCCTCCGGGATCCTGACATTGAAGTTCTATTTGCACCGTATACCAGTGTTATCAATGATGTCACATTGTACAGCCTTACAGTCTTCTTTATAAGGCCTTGGCTTCCTCATTTTCCTGATTCTACAAGCAACAGTTTGGAAGGTTTGGGAGGAGGAGAGGAATGTCAGCAACTGCTTATCTCCCCCCCCCCCATACTGTTCTTTCTCCTCTCCCTAGTTTCGTGGTTGCAAATGATGGTAAGGGAAATAGCCTGGAATGCTTATTGCAAACTCTCAGGGCATGCCCCTGTGCATTTTTATGCCATTTTCTTGTAAGATTTTCAGAGCACAGCTCATAGAACTGTCATTGAATGGGAAAGGAGCAGAGCTAGGTGAGGCTAGAGTCAGAGACCTTGGATTCAAATTCGGCTGCTCTCCCTCCCTCTTTCTGACCTTGGGCAAAGCACTTAATTTCCCTAGGCTGCAGTTTCTCATCTGTCAAATGAGGAGGTTGTACTAGATGGCCCCCAAAGTCCCTTCCAGCTCAAAATCTCTCATCTTCTGCTCCTTTTCACTCTCTCCATGACATAGAGGGAAGCCTTGGACCTCAAAGGCTGTGCCAGGGCGGTGAAATCTTTGGCAGGTCCTAATGAGATGTAAAGCTTCGCACATCTTCTCGTCAAAGGGCAGCTAGAGAGCAGTCAGAGGGGTAACTAGAATTCTGAAAGGCCTAGGGACCATGAGGATGTGTGCAAGAAAATGGGGGCATCTCAAGCCCATCTATGGATTCCTTTCCTATTGATTTCAAACATGCTCCTAATTGGTCTCACTGCCTCAAATCTCCCCATTTTGTCCATCCAATACACCGCTACCAAAATAATTTTTCTTAAACAAAGATCTGACCACATGATTCCCCTGCTTAATCAATTCCTGTGGCTTTCTATTAACTCCAGTATCAAATATAGACCCCTCTGTTTGATTTTTAAAACCCTACACGATCTTGCCCAAACCTATCTTTTCAGCCTCACGGGGCATGATTTCCTCTTTTGTACTCTGTGATCCAGTCAAACTGATCTTTTCTCTCTTTTTCACACATAACACTCATTTCCCATCTCCATGCCTTTGCAGTTGCTGTCCCACATACCTGGAATGCCCTCCCTCCTCCCCTCTGCCTCATAGAATTCCCCCCTCTTCCTTTCAGACACAACTTGGGAATCATCTTCATGAATCCATTCCTATCATCCTCCCTCCCCCCAAATGCTAATGGCCTCCTTCTCAAAAGACTTTTTATTTCACTATTTGAAATTCACAAATTTTGTTTGCGTCCAAAGCCATCCACATAGAATCTTACTTAAGGTGAGCAGGGGTTGCAATCTGCCTTGGTGGAGAGAGTGCTCAGAAGGACATAATCAGATCCTTCAGGTCCCCATTTTATGGATGAAGAAACTGAGAATCAGTAAGGTGTGATTTGTCCGTGTTTGCACAGCTACAAAGTGGTGGGACTGAGATACAGGATCTCAGGTCTAGAGCTAGAAGGGACCTCAGAGGCCATTCCAGTGCCCTCATTTTACAGATGTGGAAACTTGGGCTCTGGAAGTTGTGACTTGCCTGAGGTTATACAAGTTGTTAATGTATTTACTAGTATTATTAGTATTCTATTGCCTCATTGCTTAAATTTTCATTTAGCTTCACAACTTGCCTTAAGTATTATTGCTATCACTACCCCTACTTTCCAGATGGAAAACTTAACACCCAAGAGGCCAAGAGCCTTGCCCCAAGACACATAGGCTAAATGTCAGAAAGTGTAAAACACCCAAGCCAGCCTTTATCGATTTCCAGCAAGTAAAAACGGAGTTGTAAAATAGGTCAGCACAGGACCTGTGTTACCCCTGTGTTTTCATAAAATGGGGCATAAGATATACCCCATAAGATAACTACTTCCTCCAACAAGTAATTAAGTCTGCCTGTTTCAGAGGTAATTTGATTCCCCTGTCCCCAGTTAAGCATCCCAGATATGAGCAAGAAAGCGAGAGAGATGGCTCCACGTGAATCATCCACTTCTTTCCCTGAGCAGCCCCTCTTCACCTCCCAGACCTCTTGTCTCTCTGCTGGGTCCTAGGGCTGCACATAAGTCCAGAGCTGCCTCTGACAAGCTGCCATATGCTGAAAACAATATCAAAGGCGGGGGGAAAAGCACATCACAGCCTTCAACCACAATGCAGTTTGTACAAGGGCATGGCAAGTCATTCACGTGCAGCTTTATATTTGACATATTCAGTCAAGAGAGGAAGGCATTTCTGTCTTTTTCAGATGTCTTGTTGCTGTGTTCCTATATTCCAGGGCTTTTCTTCAGAGAATCGCAGAATCTGAGCTTGTAGGCATCTAAGAGGTCATTGACTAGAACCTATCTCAGAACAGGAATCCTCTTGACACCATCCCTGTCAAAATGGTTATTCAGTATTTAAAATCTTAGGGCAATGAAATGATGCCGTAGTACACAGAGCACTAGAAGACCTGAGTTCAAATCCAGCCTCAGACATTTACTAGCTGTGTGTTTCATCTCCTTTTGCCTCAGTTTCCTCAGTTGTAAAATTGAGATAATGAGAGCATGTACCTCACAGTGTTGGTTGTGAGGATCAAATGAGAACATTTGTAAGGTGCAAAACACAGTGCCTGGAATATAGTAGGTGCTATATAAATGCTTTTTTCTTTCCTTTCTCCCCCTTCATAGGCTGATCTAATTTTACATCTTCTTACTGTTCCCCATCCATGGTATCCCACCTCCCATTTCCATGCCTTTGTGTCCCCAATACCTGGAATATACGTCTTCCTCACCTTTGCCTTAGAACCCCTAGTTTTCTTGAAGGCTCAGTAAGGTATTGTCTTCACCCTGAAGCCTTTCCAGATACTCCCAGCTGCCAGCACCTTTTCTTCTCAAAATTGTGTTGCATTTATTTTTTCAAATGATATTTTGTGTATAACTACATTTGTACAGGTCTTCCTCAATAGAATGTAAGCTTCTTGAGGGCAGGGACTATCACCTTTGTCTTTGTATCTCCAGTGCCTGATAACAGTTAATGGCACACAATAGATGCTTAATTAATTCTTATTGCTCTACTCAAATGCATCCAGTGGTGGCAAGCTCACTACTTTCTAAAGCAGCCCACTCAACTTTTGTCGTTGAGTCAAGTCAACAAACTTTTATTGAGCCCTTACTGTGTGCCAAGCATTGGACTAAATGTCGGGGATACAGGTACAAGTGAAAAGAAAGGTATTTCCTGCCCTCCAGGAGCTTGCAATCTCATGGAGGAAAATAACACATAAAGAGAGCTGAAAAGCTGGAAGTGAAGGTGGGGAGGAGGTACCTGGACAACTCTGTTCAGGAAGATTTTCCTAATAGTAAGTATTGAAATCTGCCTCTCTACCACCTTCAACTCCTGTTCACAGTGAAGTACTACTGGGCAAATCAAAACAACTCTAATCTACTCCCCTCCCCTTGCTGCCTTCAGGTTTTCATTCCTTAGTTTTCCCTTCTCTGGGCTAATAGCTCCAATTCCTTGATCCTTATATGACCAAGACACTATAGATGTGGTCCAGTGCTTAATTTAGAGGTCAGTGCTTAACAAATTCTAGTTGATTGACTGAATAACCTGACAATGGCAGAATACTTACGTTTACATGCTAGTAAACATGCTAGTAAAATGTAAACTCCTTGAGGACAGGAACTCTCTATTCTGACACTTAGCACAGTGCCGTGCACAAAGTGGGCTCTTAATAAATGCTTGCTGGATTGGATTGGTATTATCAGCCCTCCCCTTTATTTTGAGGACCATACTTCTGAGCAGTAGTCTAAGATTGCACTGACTTTCATGTCACACTACTGACTCATTTTGAGCTTGGAGTCCTCTTAAAACCCCTGGTCTTTTTCACATTAACTATTGCCTAACCACATCTCCTCTGTCTTGTACTTGTGCTATTAGTTTTTTGAACCCAAGTGTGAGCCTTTACATTTAATCAAGGTGAGGGTTGGGATTTCTATCTGTACCC